TGTTGAAAATTTAAGGTCTCTTTACTTGCAAAACATATCTTCAAATTGAAATTCCTGTAATATACATATTGTAGTCTGAGATCATATAAAACCCCATCTAACTAAATTTTTTTCCTTAGAATTCTCATTATTTTACCCAGTACTTTTTTTTGTAGATGAAAGCTACAATCAGAATCCAAGTTTTTCTTTTATTTTTTATTTATTATTTTATTTTTTAGAATCCAGGTTTTTCAAGCTTTGAAAGATGCCTTTTATAAATCCAAACCTCCCCCTGTAACCTTGTATAGACTCTTAAAAGTGCCTTTTTTCTCTGGAGAAAGTGTCAACGGTATTTATAGTAATAGTATAAAGTTACTTAAGGTGTCAGGCCTCAGAAGAAATGGAGGATTATGATAGCAAAACTGTCTCAGAATATTTACACAAAGTTGCTTGGATCTCCCCCAAATTAGCACTTTCTCTATTTTTAGTTGGACTGCTATTTCTGTAAATTGATTTTTTTCTAGCAGTTCTGTGTAAATTTTTTTTTAAAATTTCCACTTCAATCCCCGTGCACTCTTGGTGAGAATGCAGATTAATGCAGCCCCTATGGAAAACAGTATTGAAATTTCTCAAAAAAAATTTAAAAAATGGAACTGCCTTATGACCCAGCAATTCCATTTCTGGGTATATATCCAAAGAAACCCAAAACACTAACCTGAAAGAATATATGCACCCTTATGTTCAATGCAGCATTTACAATAGCCAATCTATGAAAGCAACCCCAGTGCCCATCAATAGATGAGTGGATAAAATAGTTGTGGTACTGCCCTAGCTGGTTTGGCTCAGTGGATAGAGCGTCGGCCTGTGGACTGAGGGGTCCCGGGTTCGATTCCAGCCAGGGGCACATGCCTGGGTTTCGGGCTCGATCCCCAGTGGGGGGCGTGCAGGAGGCAGCCGGTCGATGATCCTCTCTCATCATTAATGTTACTCTCTCCCCCTCTCCTTTCCTCTCTGAAATCAATAAAATATATTTTTTAAAAAATAGTTGTGGTACATATATACAACAGTATATTCTGCAACCATAAAAAAATAATTAAAATTTACAGCCTAAGTGCCCATCAGCAGATGAGTGGATTAAAAACTGTGGTACATCTACACAATGGAATACTACACTGCGGTAAAAAAAAGGAATTCTTACCATTTGCAACAGCCTGGATGGAACTGGAGAGCATTATGCTAAGCGAAATAAGCCAGTCAGAGAAAGATAAATATCACATGATCTCACTCATTTGTGGAATATAATGAAGAACATAAACTGATGAACAAAAACAGATCCAGAGACAGAGAAGCATCGATCAGACCATCAAACCTCAGAGGGAAGGTGGGGGTAAGGAGGAAGACATCAACCAAAGGACTTGTATGCATGCATATAAGCCTAACCAATGGACACAGACACCAGGAGGTAAGGGCATGAGTTGGGGTGGGGGGGACATAGTGGGGATAAGGACACATATGTAATGCCTTAATCAATAAAAAAATAAAATAAAATATGGTAATTTAATATATGCCCCAAAATAATTAAAACTTACCATTTGTATATGAACTTACAAATAAGTTATATTAAAAACAAAATTAATAAATACATAAAACATTAAAAAACCCATTTGTGACAATATGGTTGGACCTAGAGGATATTAAGCTAAGTGAAATAAGTCAGAGACAGACAAATACCTTATGACTTCACCTATGTGGTATTCAAAGAACAATATAAATGAACACGCAAAATAGAAACAGACTCATAGATACAGAGAACACACTGATGATTGCCAGAGGGGAGGGTGGTTAGGGGACTGGGTGAAAAAGGTGAAGGGATTGAGAAGTGCAGATTGGCAGTTACAAAATAGTCATGGGGATGTAAAGTACAGCATAGGGAATACAGTCAATAATCTTACCTAATAATAGACAAACATGTAAATTGACCGTCCCTTCGCTATGCTCACCAGCCAATCAGGAGAGTATGCAAATTAATCCAACAAAGATGGCGGTTAATTTGCATACGTAGGTGCGGAGCAGCGGAGCAAAGACTGAAGGCTCCAGCCGGAGGAGCGAAGGCCTGGGTCCTGGGTGCTGGAGGAAAACCGGTGCCGGCAGCCAGGGGAATGGAAGGCCTGTTGCACGAATCTCTTCGTGCAATGGGCCTCTAGTATTATAATAACTATGTGTGGTGCCAGGTGTGTACTGGCAATATCAGGGAACACTTTATAAAGTATATGATTGTAAAGTATACTTTGTAAAGTATATGAGGTCAGTATTATTTCATATTAGTCATGATTTATAACTTGTTTCTCTTGTTGGCTCTTAGTCTTTTCTCACTTACATCATTTCCTACCATAACGTTGACCTGCATGACCCTTTTTTATTCAAGCTCTATCTCCTTTGTTGTGACTTTTACTCAACTCATGGATAATTGCCAGTTGCCTGACTTTGCTTCCCAAATTCAAATTTTGTAAATAAGGATGATAGCCCCAACTCATATTTCATCCCAGAGCCCATCAAAATTGCTGACCAGGTGAAGGACCTAAGGATGTGGTCCTTAGGTGAGGTGCCCACCCCTGGCCAGTCGACAGGACAGAGGAGTTCAGTCCTACACAATACAATGCGGTCATTTGGGTCCCCCTTCACCAAGAGCTATAGACATGGTGACATGTCTTATGCAGTGCCTTCTTGGCAAATTCGTAATGACAGATTTACTGGGGAACAATCTACCGGCTTTATCTTTCAGATTTGATGGAATTTTGTCCAGGTTATATTTTCTGTATGATATTAAAAAACAAAAACTTACAAAAATCTTAAATATTAGAGTTTTTCCAGTTGTATGTTAAATTAAGAGTATAACAGAAATCTTCCCCCTTTTTGATATAAAAGTAGTGAATAGATTTACTAGTAAACCATTAGAGTTATAGTCATAGCCAAACTATTTTATCACAGTTGCTTTTTCCACAAGGTAGAATAAGGCCCTTTTTTTAAAAAAGTATAGTGTTAGAAGGGTTTTATGCCTGAGTAGATACAAGGTGGTAATATCGTTTTGGTAGTTAAGAAGTCACCTCAAACTCCTGCCTAGAACTCTTACAGAATTTAGGCACATGGTAAGCATTCCACAAATTTTTCTTGACATGAATAAAAAAGGCTGCCTTTATTTAAGTAAGCCCAACCTGCAGCAAACATTTCTGTTAAGGGCTATAATCATGTCAAAATTTAGAGTTATAAATATTGATGCTCCCATAGTCATGAATTCACTAGAAGACTAGAAATGGCTAGGCTGGAGTTCACAACCTAGGTCCATTAAATCCCTCAGTATCCACCACCACACTCATGCAAAATGAAACTTTTTGCTTAAAATGTATTTGCTGTTATTATATAGTATTTTGCATTATGTAATGCATAAATATTTATAATATATAATAAAATATATATATAATCAGCAAAATGATGTAATATTAATAACAGTATAATTAATGTAATGTGTTATTAAGTATAATAATATTATAAAGTATATTGATATTATAAAAATATTATCCTATACAGTAAAAGCCCAGCGACTGAGTGGCAGAATGACTGACTGAGAAACCAATGCCATATTGTTTTCATAGTTATGATAAATTTTATAGAATTTACTATTTAGGGCTTTCTATATGCTAGATAGAGTTGATTAGAATCTGTTAGATGTAATTCCACCAGAATCCTACTTTTCATTATATTTATCAAAATATATTGCATACCTGCTACAAAAATTATATTTTTATGTGGCTGCTTACATTTCTCGTCTTCAAAAGGCAGAAAACAGTTCTATTTTAGCTCATCTATGGGCCTCAGTCATTTTAGGTAGTTTGAAATTCCCCTAATATGGGGGTTTATGTTTTGATATAAAATATTCTTTGTTTCTGCATTGTTATCTGACTTTTTAAAAACTATTCTCTTAATGGATAGGTTACTTCACAGGGGCTTGCCTCAACCAAAACTCATAAATACAAGCTTCTTAGAAATGTCCACGACTCTTCCTAAACAATTATGCCAGCTAAATATTCTTACACATGTATTGAGAACAAGTAGTAGTAACGACTGCTACTTAGCTTTCCAAGTAGTTAGATAAAACAGACTAAAGATTTAGAAAAATTGAATTGATTGAATCATTTATCTTTTAAATCAGCTAGTAAAAGTATATTTAGTTTCAAATGGATAAGAAATTTGTATCACTATTAGTTTAGACAGCTTAGATCATAGTTAAAATGGTTCTTATAAAGAAAAGGATAAAGCTAGAAACAATTTAAAACATTAAACTTCATAAACACATAAGGTACACCTGGGAGGTAAGATTTTAAAAATATAAAGATTTAGTGGCAGGAGAAAATTATAGTAGCTTTGGCTAGAAATACTATCTCTCTTCTTCTAACAACAACAACAAAAAAGACAAAATACTAGAAAATTAAAAAGTTCTAGGAATCCAAAACATCTTTTATTTTACTAAATATCTTGTTATAAAAAAGTAACCTTTCTAAATAAGCTAAGTTTTAAAGAACACATAGGTGAATGAATACCTTATTCTTATTTTTTCTTGGTTTTTGAATTTGTAATGCTCAATAACTTTGTTAGTGAGATCTATTAACCTGAACATTTACAAGACTGAGTCTAAAAATTGTTTTTCATGTCATGCCCAATCTCAGAGAAAAGATTTCAACAAATATCAAGTGTAACATTTGCTCTAAGCTTTTTAGAGATATTTTTATCTGGTTAAGAAAGGTTTCTTTTACTCTTACTTTGCAGTAGTTTTCCCATGCATGGGTATTGTATCTCCTTTTTTTGTTAATAAGGTGAAATATGTTGATTCAATTTCAAATGTTAAACCAAAGTTTCCTTTGTCAAGTTAAAAAAAAATCATTTTCCATGTTGCTTTCTTATGTTTATGCTTAGTTTTTAAAGCTTTATACATACCTTACAGTATACCTGTCTTTTTGACTCCCCAGCAATCGTGTGGAGGCATGGACAAGAGATGTTCCTTTTTTACTCAGACAAGAAGGCAGACCTATGGTTAATCTTATCCCTAACAAGACTAAAATAAGAGTAATGGAAGGGGATTGGAAGACTACAGACACAGCAGTAAACTGGTTAAGAAAAGCAGCAGTTAATCACACTCAACCATTTGTCCTATATTTGGGATTAAATTTACCACACCCTTATCCTTCACCATCTTCAGGAGAGAATTTTGGATCGTCAACATTTCACACATCTCTTTATTGGCTTAAAAAAGTAAGTACACTACGTGTGCTATGTGTGCTAAAAACTAGAAGTTAACATTATACTTGTATGTTACTGGTATTTACTCACTGTTTCTTTTATTATCACTTTTAAAGAAAAACTTAAATATTGAGTATTCTCATTAAATCAAATTGACCAATAGTTGGTTGACAAAAGCTGAAGGGGCAATTTTATAGAAATAAGATAAGTGTTAAAACTTAGAAACCTACTGCTGAATTGAATACATTTGCACATAATATGTCTATTAAAAGAGAAACTGAAAGATGTTCTCCAAGTGCAGGCAATATTCACTGTGCACAGTTCAGGATCGAAAAAAATGACCCTGCCAGATGAAACTGCTCAAAGAGATCTTAATAATCAACTGGGAAAGTGACCATTTTTTCTAGGACTCAACTCATTTGAGAAAACATTTAAAACTCTCTTATTTGGGGTTAAAAATGTATAGGGAAATGAAAAACAGTGAAACCAATATTTATTTAAAGCATTGTTACTAGAAACACTGAGAATTAAAGTGTTTGCTTTTTTTGTAAAAAAAAAAAAAACATATCAAGAGTAGTTTGAATAGTGCTTGCCTTCTCATTGTATAATTTAGATACGGAGCAAACATCTTTTCTATATCGTGGCATATTGTCAGATTCATAACTAAATTTGGATTGCCTTCCAACATTTTCCCCTTTGCTCTTTCAATGTTGTGATATATTTCTGAGAGTTCCTTTCCTGTGAAGATTTTTGCCACTGTCACTACCGCTAGGACGTTTGTCCTTTCTTTGCAATGACCTTCCTCATTTACATCAATGAGTGTGTCTTCACTGAGTTCCTCGGACTGCCTATCTAGCCGTGTCAACCTTCCCACATCAGCTATTTCTTCTATGACTCCAGTTAACGTTTGATTCAAATTTCACTTCCAGTGCTACCACTTTTTATTTCTTTATTGTACATTCATCTTTGTTAACCAACTCCCTCTTTTGATTACCCATTTCTGTACACTGTCCCATGGGTTTCTCTCTAAGAGACAGGGAGGCAGCACAACTGCACAGTGTGCTGTCTGTGTGTATAATGGATAAAAGATGCGCGGTGATCAGTCAGTGACAGGCTTTGAAAGAAATGGTCTGATTAGTCCCTGATACACATCTTTCATTCATATAGTGATTTGTAGACTAAGTAGCTAGCAGCATATGACTGAAGGTTTGTACTGTATGCACTGATTCACAGTTAATATACCGTAGTAACTAAAATCTGAACCCCGTTATTGGGAGACTGGTGTCTCACTAAACTGTGGTAACTGCAATCTGTGTATATCTGAACCATGCAGAGGGAGGACTGTCTGTGCTTTGAAACATGTCGTCTTAAATCGAATTTAAGTTGCTTAAGCAACTCTAATCAGAAACACTATTTAGTGCACCCTATTTTAAAGGAAATACTGTCCAAGTTGCAAATACATCATGTCTTCTTAAAAAGTTCTAACTGGCTCCATCTTTAAAAAATTTATCTGGAGTTAGTACTAGCCTAATTAAATGAGTCAAATAACTTTTAAATAAATAGTAAGTAGATATTTGAATTTTTTTTAAGTTACTTAAATATATGACTTAAATCTTAATCATTTTCACCAAAACTGTAAGCATTTATATATATGAAAAAGTTGTATTTGTTTACCAGATATTTTGCTATCTCACTAGATATTGCCATTTTTACTAGTGAACTATTAGAGAAAAGAAGTCTACAATCTTAGGGTGTTGATCTGAAATTTGAAGTGATTATACAACTATCGTAAAGTTCTCAGACCCTTTTTCTGTACTAGAATACTGTCTAATATAGCTCATGTCATTTTCATTGACATGTATAATTTTTAAAATAATTTTCATCTCACTATATATAGATATTAATATATCTGTTTTATTATTAGTGGCAATATTGACAGTTTGTTTCTAATTTATTTGTTTTACTATTTTCAGTTCATGATTCATAATCATTCTTTTCTACTATCCTGAATAATTAAAGTATGTATGTCTAGTTCACCACACATACTTGGTGGATGAGAGGAACATTACTACTTTGTTTTTCTCCCCTTTTTAGGTGTCTTATGATGCCATCAAAATCCCAAAGTGGTCGCCTCTGTCAGAAATGCACCCTATAGATTATTACTCTTCTTACACAAAAAACTGCACTGGAAAGTTTACAGAAAGAGAAATTAAGAATATTAGAGCATTTTATTATGCTATGTGTGCTGAGACAGATGCCATGCTTGGTAGGTGGTGTAATAATTAGCAGTTACATGAAGAAAAAGTATAATATTTTGCCAACAAACCATGATTATGCTGGTTGATGACTTGAATGAATATCCTGAGATGATTTTTTATATCAGTTGCTTAGATACTTCAAACTTAGGATTATAAGACTCACATATAAAAATTGGATAATTTGCATTATTAATAGTAGAATAAAAGCCTTTTCTATTTTAATTATTTATAAATTAATAAATGCTTAGATTTTTTCATACGCAAAGAAAAGGTCATAGAAGGCTATATCATCTGCTTGCAACAAAACCTTTTACCAGCTTTAATCAGTAATCAGTACAGGCATACCTCTTTTTATGGTGTTTCACAGATAACGTTTTTACAAATTAAAGGGAAGACCCTCCATCATCAAAAAGATTACAACTTTATTGTGATACTCGTTTTATTGTGCTGATCTGGAACCAAACCCTAAACATCTCTGAAGTTTGCCCATATTCAGCCAAACACAGATACACGTGTGACAGGTCATTGTAAGGCAGTTTAGTTCCTAGGAGATTAGACAGTTTAGTTGTAGAATCTTGTGACTTTGCCCAGACTAATAGCTGCAGAACAAATCCGTTCTCCCAGGCCCCTCAGAGCAAACGTAACTAAAGGCCAAGTCAGTTTCCCCATGTGTATTCTGGTACAGAATCAGTTTGAAGTTCCTTCTCTGATTCAGCTCAAAACCAAACCTGTCTCTATAAGGTGATTGTCAAGAAAGTGTTTTGCCTACTCACTTGTAGAGTTATGGCGGTCTCCAGTTCATGTGGAGAAACCCTGGTTTAAAAAAAAAATACACATTTTTATAACAAGTTCTTTTCACAATACAGAATCATTTATTCTGCTGTACCTTGGAGTAGAATGTAATTGCATTCGTGAAGTATGCGTAGCACCTTTTCTGTACAAAGTAAACTTCAGGTGTGAACAAGTGAATGGCTGTTTCTTAAAAAGCATTTATTGGGAAAATTTTAAAAAGTATAAAACAGAAAGCAAAACAGCCATATGGATAAATTATTTATAATTAGTATTAAAAGAGTCTAAAGGACCTTCCAATTGCTTACTCTAAAATACAAGATTTTGAGTCAATTTCTTTAATCCTTAAATCCACACAAATGTTGAATTATATGAATTATATCTATATATTTTCTGATGTTAGTGATAGTCACCCATTTGCACCTTGGAAATCTCTTTTGAATGTTTGCTGCTATCCATTCTTCCATGTCTACTAAAGTGAAATAGGATGTAATGTTGCTGCAGGGAGTGTGGGAATACTACTCTTGAAGTCTCTTCAGGCAAAAGAAAAAAAAATGCAGCAGCTCACTTCAAGTTACAAAGGTTATGAAATATATTGTATCCTTGTTGTTAAATCTCTAACTGATTTTGTCACCAAGAGTATTTATGGTATTACTGTTCACAATGCTTGTTCAACAAACATTTAGTGCCCCCTAGTAATCAGGCACTGTTGGGCACTGGTAGTATTAAGTTGAATATTATAAAAACAGTCATGTATTAATTAAAAACCCTTTAGGCATGTACTCTACCCAGGGGCCTTATATTCACTGTTCCCTCTCCCTGAGATGCCTTCCCTTTGCTCTTTACATAGCTGACAGCTATTGTCAGTCTTTAGCTGGCAGCTCAGGGATATCTCCCCAACCACTCTAAGTTAGTATACCAGCCCCATCATCCTACTTACTCTTGTTTGCTTACATCATAACTTTTAATTATTTTGTTGATTTACTTGTCTCCTGTCCATTTCCCTTGAAGAATATGAGCTTCATGAAGGCAGGGACATTCAGTCTTACTCAACGTTGTATTTTAAGTGTCTAGCTTTGCCACCATAGTGCCTGCCACATGGTAAGAACTCAGTAAACGTTTACCAGCAATGATAATATATTGCTGTAACTACAGTAACATACTACTTTTTTATATTTGTAGTCTTGGAGGACAGAGTGATTCACTCTACCTGGGGAGTGGGGACTGCTTCACCAGGGAGGAAAGGCTTGAGCTGGGTCAGAAAGGAAGAATGGCAATTTAGCAAGTAGATGGTGGAAGAAAAGGCATTCAATAATAGAAGGCAGAATGTGTCCAGAGGCAAGAAAGTCTAAACTAAGTATTATTAGTTCAGGGAATTCTAAGTTGGGAGGGTTGTGAAAGTTAAAGGTGTTAGGGGAAGCTGAGGGGACTGAGCTTGGAGGGTGGACAGGGGCTTTGTGTGTTGTACTAAAGAATTAAACAGTAGAACACTGTGGGAAAGGTCTAAACTGGGTGTGACATGATCAGATATTTTAGAAAGCTATCCACCAGAACGGTACAAGGAATACTGTGGAAAGGAAGGAGGCATGCAAGCAAGAAGATCAGTTAAAAGATCCTGATGGTCTGAACTCTGTAAATAACTCCATGGAGCCCTGGTCTCAGTTCTGACTGGACCTCTGAATCACCTGTGATGTTTTTTGTTTTTGTTTTTGTCTTGTTGTGTGTGTGGTGTGTGTGTGTGTGTGTGTGTGTGTGTGTGTGTGTGTGTGTGTGTGTGTTTAAAAATAAAACAGAGAACCCTGTATCCCAGATTGAGGAACTGCCAGAATAGGGATGACTCCTCTCTCTGGACTGTGCCTTGCTGTAATTCTTAATTATAATGAGGAGGAAGTTTCAGGACACTAAGAAACAGGGACTGGTCAGAGGAATGTTACTGTCCAGGTATTCCCCTTCTAAGAATATGCTACATCACACTCATATACTATCTATACTACTTCAGTCCTTCTTCAACAATGGAAATCTGTAACCCTCCACCACCTTCATGGGCACGATCTGGAGATTGGGGATTTGGGAAAAGGGTTGCAGGGAAGAGGAGTTCTGACCCCTCTTATCTCCTCCCATTGGGCAGTAATTATGGGTCAGTGTGATATCAATCCTTTCACTATCTGACATGTGTGGAGTGCTGATATCCAGACCTGTCTTTTTTTCATTACAGTCACTAAAGGGAAAAATTTCCCCCTATTCTCTAATCCTATATACTAAAGAGCTAATATGCTAATTAGACTGAACAGCAGAACGACTGTCCAGACTACCTTCCAGACAAAGCCGGGGCTGCGAGGGCTGAGGCATCAGGCAGGGCGGCTGCGAAGGGCCCACCCTTACACAAACTTCATGCAGCAGGCCTCTAGTAGAAACATAAAAAGCATGCCAGTGTGATCTTCAAATAAAGAAACTATACTATAGGTATTATATTTTCTCCTTCCTCTCTCGTCTGTCCACTGAGGAACAGGCACATGAAACAGTATTACTTAGGAACAGTAGATAATATTCAGATGTTAAGTAGCATCCTGACAAACTCTTACTAGGGTTGTGATGAGCTTATTATGATAGAATAAAGCATTAACTAATTAAGATTTATCTTGATTATATTGTAGGTGAAATTATTTTGGCTCTTCGCCAGTTAAATCTTCTTGAGAAAACTATTGTTATATACACCTCAGACCATGGAGAGCTGGCCATGGAACATCGTCAGTTTTATAAAATGAGTATGTACGAAGCTAGTGCCCATGTTCCACTCTTGATAATGGGACCGGGAATTGAGGCCAACCTACAAGTATCAGATGTGGTTTCTCTTGTGGATATTTACCCTACTATGCTTGGTAAGTAATGTAAGTCGATAAATCTTTATTTGTAATAATGCTGGAGCATGAGTAAGCAAAGTAGTCAGAGGCCCTGCTGACGTGTTTATAATCTTGAACAACTCCTCTGTGAATCAATCCATATCTGAAATATGAGGATAATAGTCCTCAGATTCCTTTGGCCTTTACTCCCTGTAGTCATCTTTCCTTCCAGAGATTCACTATCAGGATATGACTATCGAATAAGCCACTTAAGATATTCAGGTTCATAACTTCATAGATATGATTATTTAATTTCTAGCAATGCAGATATACTACTTATTACTTTCTATTTTTTATTAAAAGTATTTAATTAGACCTAAAAACACAGAACATTGAAACCAGAAAAGGGGTGGAGAGGGCAACTACAGACTCATTTTGGAACTATCCTGAGTACCTGGCCATAATTAATAATTTTTCTATAGGAAAAAGATAGTTTGAATTTTAAAAAGACAGCTTAGAAGCAATTTTTACATTGTTATATTGTAAATACCTCTTTTTTTACAACCACTTTTTAAGTTAGACATTTCTCATGCTATTGTTTATATGACTATATTTGATGAGGAAAAAAATAAATTAGTTTTCCTCAAATCAGTATAATCTGGGATTTATCAACATATGTTCTGCAAAATACTATTCCTCACAGTATTATTTGGGGGTAAAAAAAGTTTTGTCATCAAATAACTTTGGGATACATGGAATACTATACACCACCTCTGAAGGTTTTGATATGTATCAGCAATAAATTTACATTTACAGTAAATTCACCTATGTAATTTTAACCATTGTTTGCAAACGTGTGACTAATAAACCCCTTCTTATATAGGTGTTATTAGTATCTCATGGAACAAATGTGAGAAACAACTGTGATTATTTAATCATTCAGAAATAAAGGACTGATGATATAAATTAATATTTGTTAGGGGTTTCCTGTGTGCCAGGTACTGGTCTCTGAATTTTATATAAATTATCATATTGAAATCTAAAATAAGCCTATGAAATGCAGGTATTATTATTCCCTTTACAAATGAGGAAACTAAGATTCAAAGTAGTTAACATGCCCAGGCATGGTTATTGGAATAAGCACTTGGATGCAGGCAAAATACTTATAAAATACATGTACAGCCTCTGTGACCTTTAGTGATGTCATTGATGAATGTCCAACTAATAAAAAATGAGTTATTTTAAAAGATTGTATTATTTGTGTTATAGACATTGCTGGGATTCCTCTGCCTCAGAACCTAAGTGGATACTCTTTGTTGCCATTATCATCAGAAATGTTTGAGAATGAACATAAATTTAAAAGCCTACATCCACCCTGGATTCTGAGTGAATTCCATGGATGCAATGTGAATGCGTCCACCTACATGCTTCGAACTAACCAGTGGAAGTATATAGCCTACTCTGACGGTGCTTCAGTATCTCCTCAACTATTCGGTAAATTTGTTCATATATTTCGTAAGTGTAGTATGATGTGTGATGAGCTGACCTACATAGTGTCGCCTAACAGATCCAGTAATTATTGTTACATGAATATCTGCTGCTTCTCATGATGGGACTGTCTACAAAAGATTGCCCATGAGAGGTGCAGATCCTTTGCAAATCACCATCTGTATTCCAGAGCTAGTGCCTTAAAGCTTTTGATCTGAGACTCAAGATCGAAACCACTGTTTTTCTCTGATTAAGGTGTCTTCTAATACTCATGGTTATCTTTCCCAATCAGTAGTTAACACCCTCTCATTATACCATGCTTTCAGCTGTTCTGGAGGATTATTATCTATCCTATCTAATAATAGAGAAACATGGTAATTAACCGTAACTTAGCTACCCTTCCCATTGGCTAATCAGTGAGATATGCAAATTAACTGCCAACAAAGATGGCGGCCGGCAGCCACACTGCTGAAGTGAACAGGAGGCTTGCTTGCTCCAACGATGGAGGAAGCCAAGGTTCCCCGCCTGCTGCAGCCCAGCTCTGAGCTCCGGATGCAACATTGTTGCAATTATAGAACCTAAACAAACCCCAGGTACATGCTTTCAGCCGGCAGCGGGCTCAGAGCTTAGAGCGCCAGTGATGGTAACAGAGTTTCAATTATAGAAGCTAAACAAACCCAGATACCTGCTTTCAGCCAGCCACAGCCTCAGAGCTGGAGCCGGGCCTCAGCTCCAGTGACAGCTATAGAAGGTAAATAAATCCCAGAATAAAAAAAAGAAGAGGCTGGGAGCTTCATTCACCCGCCAGCCTGAAAACAGCCCTCAGCCCCTCACCCAGACTGGCCAGGCACCCCAGTGAGGACCCCCACCCTGAAGGGGGTGTGACCAGCTGCAAACAGCCATCAGCCCATCATCCAGACTGGCTAGGCACCCCAGTGGGGACCCCCACCCTGAAGGGGGTGCAACCAGCTGCAAACAGCCATCAGCCCGTCATCCAGGCTGGCCAGGCACCCCAGTGGGGACCCCCATCCTGAAGGGGGTGCGACCAGCTGCAAACAGCCATCAGCCCCTCATCCAGGCTGGCCAGGCACCCAAGCGGGACCCCCACCCTGATCCGGGACACCCTTCAGGGCAAACCAGCCGGCCCCCACCTGTGCACCAGGCCTCTATCCTATATAGTAAAAGGGTAATATGCAAACTGACCCTAACAGCAGAAAGACTGGGAATGACTGGTCACTATGACACACACTGACCACCAGGGGGCAGATGCTCAATGCAGGAGCTGCCCTCTGGTGCTCAGTGCGCTCTCACAGAGGGGATCTCTGCTCAGCCACAAGCCAGGCTGACGGCTGCCAGTACAGCGGTGGTGGTGGGAGCCTCTCCTGCCTCCTCAGCAGCGCTAAGGATGTCCGACTGCAGCTTAGGTCTGCTCCCCGCTGGCAGATGGACATCCCCCGAGGGCTGCCGGGCTGCCAGAGGGATGTCTGATTACCATCTTAGCCCCAATCCCCCGGGGAGCAGGCCTAAGCCAGCAAGTGGTCACCCCCTCAGGGTCCCAGACTGCGAGAGTGCACAGGCTAGGCTGAGGGGACCCCCCCCCCCGGCCTCTAGTCTATATATATAAAAGCCTAAGCGACTGGTCGACCGTTTGACTGGTTGACCGGTTGCTATGACACACACTGACCACTAGGGGGCAGATGCTCAATGCAGGAGCTGCCCCCTGGTGGTCAGTGTGCTCCAACAGCAGGAGCACCACTCAGCTAACCGATGGGTGCCAGATGCCGGACTCAGGAGCGCAGCTGTGGTTGCATGAGCCTCTCCCACCTCCGTGGCAGCACTACCAACTGGCAGTCTGACATCCCCCAAGGGGTCCTGGGTTTCGAGAGGGCACAGGCCAGGCTGAGGGACCCCACCGGCATCTTAGAGAGCTTTACAACACTACTAGATGATAGCATAATCCTGCAAATGCCTCCTAGCTTCACTATTCTGTGAATTAATTTTAAAGCAGCATTATTAGAATTAAGGTTTTATTTATCCCTTGCCTCCTTTTTGCATATACTATATGTACTAATGCCATTATTAATATTCATTTCTCCTTACATTTCCTTCCTTGTTACAAATGTCAAAATTATTAACTCAAAATAATTCTTTAGTTTGGGTTATTGATATGGGACAATAAAAGCATACTATTTTTTTTCTCAGCCTGTCAAAGTAAGCAAGGCATCAAAGTCTGGAAGAATTAGAGCTAAGCCAGCTCACTAGTGATAAGGATTTGACTGTTTATGCCATCAAAGGATGGATAAGAAAAACATGGGATAGTGGGACGATGGTAGGAAGATAATTTGAACAAACATTCAGAGAGGTGTTTAACTTTTGGTATATTATTTACCACTTATCCTGGCCATCATTGTACTATATATACTAAGAGGAACTGAAAATAACTGAAAATAAAAATAAATTCTAAAACATCATCTGTCACAGAGTAATGGCATTCTAAAAAATGTTCTTGTTTCAGGTAATTCTTTTGACAGGCATTTAATTTTTTTCTTTCAGATATTTCCTCAGATCCAGATGAACTAACAAATATTGCTACAAAGTTTCCAGAAATTACTTATTCTTTGGATCAGAAGCTTCGTTCCATTATAAACTACCCTAAAGTTTCTGCTTCTGTCCACCAATACAATAAAGAGCAGTTTATCAAGTGGAAACAAAGTATAGGGCAAAACTATTCAAATGTTATAGCAAATCTTAGGTGGCATCAAGACTGGCTGAAAGAACCGAGAAAGTATGAAAGTGCAATTGATCGGTGGCTTAAAACCCACACTCCTCCAAAAAATATCTCAACAAAAATAAGAAAATAATGTTCTGGAGCTATATAGAAATATGTTAAAAGATAATGATTAAGTATGTGTTTTACATGTTAGTTTTAAATGTAAACTTTCATTACAAGTATTACTTTTAAAGAATGTATATTATTTTAAATAAAAAATCATAGAATTACAGTATATATTTTCAAAAATGATTACTATTAACATCTCATTCTTAGCAACTTCTTACAACATAATGGAAGTATTTAAAGGATATGGACAGAGCATCGGCCTGCGGACTGAAGGGTCACAGGTTCTATTCCAGTCAAGGGCATGTACTTTGGTTGCAGGCATATCCCCAGTAGGAGGTTTGCAGAAGGAAACTGATTGATGTTTCTAACTCTATCCTTCTCCCTCTCCCTTCCTCTGTAAAAAATCAATAAAATATATTTTTTTAAAAAATCTCTTTTAAGGATAAAATCAAATAGAATATAAAGTTACATTGATCTGAATAATATAAAGTGTAGAATAACTTTATTATTGATTATTACTTATGAACCATAAAATAGTAATTTGTGAGTATTTGGTGGTATCTGATGAATTATTTGTATTTGATGGGACATGGAGTATTTATGTTTATGTGGTGCAAGTATTTGAAATAATTGATGGGATATAGACCCTGGATATGACTAACTTTATTATTGCTTTTTAAAAAATAGGTGTTATATATAAAAGGTACAAAGGAGTTAACAGTGAACATGAAGTTTCCCTTCTTTCCCCGTCCCCCAGCCACCCAGTCCCCCTTCCTAGAGACCACTACTATAACCACCTTCCTATGTATTCTTTTAGAGACAGACCATGCATCTCCAAACTTCATAATCTTACACACACACACACACACACACACGCACACAAATGGTAGCATACTATACAAAAATATTCTGCATCTTGCTCTTTTTCTTTCCCCACTTAACAATGGGTACCTAGAGGTGAAATTGCTGGTACAAGACCTATGTCTAGCAAAACTACACAAAATGCTACCGAATTACCCCTAAGAAATTATACCAACTTAAATTCTCATCCAGCAATGAAATGCCCTCACATCCTTTGCCAACCTGATAAGTTAAAAATATATTATTACTTTTATTTTTATGATTAAGGTATATTTTCATATGCTTACTAGCCATTGGAATTTCCTTTACTATGACCTATACTATTTTTCTATTCTTTGCCCATTTTTCTTTTGATGGTTGGCCTTCTTTATTACAGCTATGCTTTAGATATTAGATCTTTGTAAGAAAAGCAGAAAGGTTTATTTTTCCTTTTTGTAATTTATCTTTTGACTTTGTTGTGGTGTTTTTGACATGTAGAAATTGGTATTTTCATGCAATCAAATTTATGAATATTTGCTTTTGTAGCTTTGGGATTTTGTGTCACATATATTTAGAATGGTCTTCCCCACTTATCTTCTTTTAGAGTTTTATTTTTCATCCTTCTTGACCCATCTGGAATGGTTATCAATTAGTTTGTTTTATAAGATGGCTATCCAATTGACCTTTCACTGAGTAAACTAACATTAATCCCATTGGTTAGAAAATGCCACTTCATTATATAACATCTGTTATTGAATAAATTATCTTTCCCTCTATTGATTTGAAATGCCATTTGAGTTCTTTCAGAACATTTTTCATTTTTCAATGGACTGTTCTAATTTGTGTGATGGTCAATATCTGGTCAGACTAGTCCCTTTGCAACAATTTTGTTTTTCAGAATTGTCCTGGTTATTTTTTTTTTAATAATGTTTTTATTGATTTCAGAGAGGAAGGGAGAGGGAAAGAGAGACAGAAACATCAATGAGGAAAGAGAATCATTGATTGGCTGCCTCCTGCACACCCCCTACTGGGCATGTGAATGGGAATCAGACCTTAATCTCCTAGTTCATGGGTCAATGCTGAACCACTGAGCCACACAAACCGAACTGTCCTGGCTACTCTTTCTAACTTATAGTTCCCATACAAATTTAGAATAAGTTTGTCTAGTTTGAAAAATGAAAAATCTTGTTAGTCTTTTCATGAAATCATATTAAATTCATAGCCAACTTTAGGGAGAATTGAATTCTTTATGATATTCAGTTATTCTAAAGACTAGAGTATGCTTTTCCCTTTCTTCACATCTTCTATGATAACATTCAGTAGTATTCTAAGTTTTCCTAAACTAGATCAGTATCTTCATAGAGATATTTGGAAAGTAGGGACCTTTAAAAAAATACCACCTAGGTCCCACTCCACACCAACTGAATTAGAATTCTAAGGGTGGCACCTGGGCACTGTTTTGTTCTTATGTTTTGTTATTAAGCTCTCCAGCTGATGATCCTAACACATAGCCAGAGATGAGCTTACTTCTAGTTATTTTACCATTTGTTGTTGGTGGTGCTATTTTTAAGTGGATCTTTCTTCCATTATATCTTCTAACTGGTTGTTGCTTATTTGTGCAAACTCTATTTCTCTATATTTTGTACCAAACCATCCTATTGTTTGCAGTTTTTCAGTTGGTATCTTATGTTTTCCTGATACAAAAGCTACTCTGTAGACAATGACTTAATGGTTCTTCAGTGAGTTTGTCTGAGGTTACCTTTGTAGTTATGTATGAATTGCTGAGAAATAAATTTTCACTTCAGGTATATTCTGATGTAAAACCCTTAAGAAAAACATCTCAGTCTTAGATTATTAAGGTTAAAAGTAAAATATGCAAATCTACCTTCCATCTCCTGATTAAAACTACAGAACATAAAATAGCTAAGGTGTGGATGTATGTGCTAATTTTAGGAAAAAATAAAACAATAATCATAGAAATGTGGTTCTGAAAAAACAGGCATGTAAAGATAAATATAATCCACTTGTTCTACCCAAACCCTTAAATATGCACCCCTTGTTAGAATTTACCAAGCATTCGTAATATTTTAAGTATGTTAGGTATAGGATCATAATTAGGTATATTTAATTTTAAGGACAATATCTAATTCAAAATGGCATCTAACAACCAGAAAAACTTGGAAGACCAAGACAAATTACCTAATGCCAGAAACAGTGAAATCAACACAAACTATAAACTGGATTGAGGACAATATTTGGGCTTCATTTTTAACTATCTCTACTGCTACCATCCTGTTACAATCTACCACACTCAGATGTTTAGAATTTTGCAATAGCCTATAAGAGGTCTCCCTGAGTCTGCCCATGGCTGATTCTATTAAAATATATCCAATCGCATCACTGGATACTCAAAACGCTCCACTGGTTTCCCATCTTATTCTGTAAAAGGTCCCAATGATCTGCCAAATGTTATCTCCGGCACACTGACCTCCCTGTTGTTTTCTGGCACACCAGGCATGGACCATCTCAAGACCTTTGTGCTTGTCAATGCTCTTGGAATGCAGTTCTGGCCTCAGATTTCCACATGGGTCACTTTGTTACCACCTTCAGGTCACTGCTCAAATTCTAGCTTCTCATAGGGCTTCCCTGCTTTATTTTTCTCCATAGAAAACATCACCACCCAATTTGGTGTATATTTCGCACATTTAATTTGTTTATAGTATCTCCCACACCTCCTTCCCCACTAGGATGAAAGCTCCATACAGGAATGGCCTTTTGTCCTGCTTGTTTCCTCAAGTAGCCCAAGTGCCTGACACATAGTAGAAGCTTGGTACTTGTTGAATTAATATGAGTTAGAGTTAGAGTTTTTCAAATATCACATTGGAGGAGAAAACTAACACATTAGGTCATGGCAGGGCAGGGGGTGAAAGGGAGTAGCCTTCACAATAAAGCAGAACCTTCTAGAAACAGTAAATTCTAGCAAACTTCTGCACAGGACAGTTGACAAAGAAACTCTATCCCTCTTTGTTTTATCTTTTTCTATGAAAAAAAAGCCAGATACTATTTTAAGCTTTGTGAGCCATATGGTCTCTGACAACTACTCAGTTCTGCCCTAGAAGCATGAAAGCAGCAACAGACAATAGTAAACAAATGAGCTTGGCTGTGTACCCAGGAAACTGTTTACAAAAACACAGGATTCGGTCTGTGGGCCATAATTTGTTAACCGCCAATCTATAACAATGGTTCACAACTTTGCTGCAAATTAGAATCACCTGAGTATGTTTAAAGACTATCAATGCCTGGCTCTCACTTCCAAGCATGGAGAGTTTTATTTCTTTAAAAATGAAGAAATAACAAACACTATTTTTTCATATAAGAGAATGACAAAAATTAACAACGATGGGACTCATTATTGGTGGGATCACAGGGAAAAACACATATACATTGCTTGTGCACCATGTATTAAATTGCTGTAAAAATGCATGTGCTCTGCCCTAGCAATTCCCATGCTAGGCTTTATCTTAAGGGAATAACTGAATGCCAATAACTGTATAGAAGAATGTATCTGAAGGGAATTATTTCTAAAGTGAAAACTGGAAAACATTTGTCCAAAAATAGGGGGTTATTTAAATCATTGCAATTCATTTCACATTAAACATAATTATGTCACATTTTTTACTGATTGGCATAGAAAGCTGTCCAAATATAATTTTAAATGAAAAAAGCAGGATACAAAATATTACATATTTTTGTAAATATATATATAGTCATTATAGTCTCAAGGATATATAACTTGAGTATTAATGTTATCTGCATGGTATGTTAAGTGTTTTGTTGCTAATCTGTATTGTCTAATTTTTCTGCAATTAATACGTACTATTTTTATAATAAAATAATACTTAATTTTGAAACATATATGTCATGCATCACCAATATTTAGACAAACTAGCATTATGTGCCCTGAAATGATTACACTGAGGACAAAGTATCACCTATGTAGTATTTCTGCCCAAAAAGTCTAATCCAGATTTAATTATGTGGAAACAAATACAACTTTAGAGACAGTCTACAAAACATGTGCCATGGACCCTTCAGACCCATCAGTGTCATGAAAGGGAAAAGGTGAAGAAACTTCTAGATTAAAGGCCAATGGAGAAGTTCTAAAATGAAATACAACTCATGATCCTTGATTGTGCCCAGCACAATGGATGAAAACAAATGCATATCTATTAATTCATCAACTCAAAACATATTTCCTGAAACCTACCATGTGTCAGGCTCAGTGCTAAGCACTAGTGATATGATGATGAAAATTATAAAGTCTCTGGCCAAAGGCCAATAGCTCAGGAAATTGGATTACTACAGCAAATGGCAAGATTGTCATCTGCACCCACCAAGCCCTCCTATCCCATGCACCTTGAAGTGCCAAATGATTTCTCAGCCTGGGAATGTGAACCCAGCAGACTCCCAGATCAGGAAGTGCAGGAATTCTACTTTCAGGGTGACTAGTAAGGAGGGTGCACAAAAGACAAATTGATGCTTCCAACAAGAAAACTAAAATTTGTGAAGATGGAGGGCTAAAATAAGAGGCAGCATTTATCCTAAACCATTTCCTGTAACTTGGATTTCTTTTTTAAAACTTGGCTGCCTTATTTTCTTAGTCACCTTTTCTCTAAGCTTATTGGAAGCGTAGTCCCTCCTAGCTACCTCCCACCTGCTAGAAGACAGAATCAAGAGAAGCCATGATGACACATCATCGCTGAATGAAAATATTAGGGGAAAAGTAACAAATGTACTACCATTTGCATAAAACCTGTCGATGCCCTCTTCAGACTAATGAAATGAATTTTATATCACCCAGAGAGTAGCTGTGATCCTCTGCTTCTAGTAATGAGTATTTGAAACTAGATATCTGCAAACCACTTCAACTGCTAATTGCCAAACAGCACTGACTTTAGTCCAAGTAAATCCTCTCATTGTTGGCCAAAGATACATCTTTATTTAAGGTTCATCTAATGGGATCCTCTTTGCTCAAAATGCTGTTAGGTTTCTTGTGTTTGTTTTTCACCTGCTAGTACAGATCCACAACATCTCAAACCTTTTTTATTTTTTTCATCAAAACTGGTTTCTTGTTTCTTTTCTTTTTTCCTACTGGCAATCATGGAACCATTTTGAGGGGTACAATCTCAGTCAGGAGCTGCATCTTTTGTGTGTTGGTCTTGGGTTAAGAGCCTTTACAACGGTCCCGGCAAAACGACCTTCTGTCCAGATGGGCTCTACGGGTAAATGGGGAACCCGGGAGGTCCCAGAGCCCAGTGGTGCGAGGCTCCTGCGAGGGTAGCATGGGGGCCTTGGCGGAGATGGGAAGGGGAGAAGGACTGGGAGGGCAGACACGGAGAAGGTGGAGAATAGGAATCATGTGTGTTCCTCGAGTGTACAACCCACATTCGAGTGACAAGTGACGAAGGCAACCTATGAAAAAACATCTCAGCACAAATATACCGGAATCCAGCTGCCTCTCTGTGCAATGTGGGTCTTCAACTAACTTTGGGAACTGACAGATCCGGCATCGCGCCGCGCGCAGCCTCGCCTCCCCCTCGGTTTCCTTCGCCCTGCCTAAGGTCTTCGGTCCCTGCTCTTCCTCCAAGGTAAGAATGGAGTATCATTCCTTCAGCCTCCCAACTCGGTCGCCGGCGCCCAACCACTCCGCACCCCTCTCTCTGGGCTGGGGTCTCAACCTGACTTCCGGACGGGAAGTCCCAGCTCCCGGGCCACCGCCGCCCGGCCCGCCCAGCCGCCTGGTCTACCTGGGGGCCATCCTGGTGGTGGCCGTGGCCGGCAACGCCAAGGTACTGTGCCGCCTGTGCGGCCGCGGCGGGCCCTGGGCGGGTCCCAAGCGTCGCCAGATGGACTTGCTGCTGGTGCAACTGGCCCTGGCCGACCTGTACGCGTGCGGGGGCACCGCGCTGCCGCAGCTGGCCTGGGACCTGCTGGGCGCGTCGCATCGGGCCGCGAGCGACCACGAGTGCCGCTTCGTGCGGCTGCTGCAGGTATCCGGCCGGGGTGCCTCGGCCCACCTGGTGGTGCTCATTGCCCTCCAGCGCCAGCGCGCCGTGCGCCGTCCCCAGGGGCCGCCGCTGCCCGCGCGCGCCCTCGCCGCCCTGGGCTGGCTGCTGGCGCTGCTGCTGGCGCTGCCCTCGGTCTCCGTGGTGCGCGGGGAGCCCCCTCGGCGCCTCCCGCCGCCCGCGCCGGGCCCGGAGAGCATCGCTGCCGCGGCATCTTCGCGCCCCTGCCGCGCTGGCACCTGCAGGTCTACGCGCTCTATGAGGCCACCGCGGGATTCGCGGCGCCGGTCGCGGTCCTGGGCGTCGCTTGCAGCCGCCTGATCTGCGCCTGGTGGCAGCGCCCGCCCCCGGCCCCATCTGCCGCGGCGCCCACGTCAAGTCCTGGCCAAGCCCCGGTCCACAGCGCGCTACCGCGCACCAAAGTGCAGAGCTTGAAGATGAGCCTGGTTCTAGCGCTGCTGTTCGTGGGCTGCGAACTGCCCTACTTTGCTAACCCGGCTGGCAGCTGCGTGGTCGTCGGGACCGGTGGGAGAGT